AACCCCCCTGCCTCCTCAGCCTCCTGCCATCCCCTGTCCTTTGAGCTGGGCCTCCCTGTTCCAGGCTTCAGGCCTTCTGTAAATAGAGCTCAGCACAGGATTTGTTAATCTGCTCAGCAACGCTAATCCAGCTCTCTAGCAGTAGCCCATCCCACTGCTGTTGAACAGTGATTAGGCGTAAGTGGGCCGCAGCTACCCCAGTGACTGATTAGTAATGCAACTGTCCCAGTGAAGAGCCAGGTGCGTTGGTACCCAGTGCTGTGATTGACCTTGGAGCTGAAGAGTTCCTCAGTGCCATCTGATGATTTTTGATCATTATGATTATTGTACACACACACACACACACACACACACACACACGCACTCACACACTTTCATGTGTTTTGGGTCCTGAGTCCTGGCGTCTGGGGATCTTGGGTCAGTAGAGGGGTTGGGTGAAGGGGAGCAGAAGAGAGGCCAGAAGTCCATACAGGTACCCACAGTCCCTCCCCACACCCCAGGTTTACCCAGTTGTCCAGCCCTCATATCCTGGGGCTTACTTCGTGTCACACCTGTTCCGAGTGTTATACACACAAGGGTTGTGGGCCACAGTCCTACAAATCCCCGTGTGGAATGGCCCCTGCCGACCTCTCTCCTCTTAGCTCCTGAATCTTGCCTCCCCTCTGTGCTCTGTGCTCCAGTCAGTGACCTCACTCTGATGACTAGAGCACGTCAACCTCTCCCTCCTCGGAGCCCATCGCCTGCCCTGCTAGTCCCTGTGTTGTTGCCCCTCCTCTCTTCTCTTTTCATGGCTGGATTCTTATCCTTCAGGTCTTAGCTCACTTGTCACCTCTTGAGGGACCTTTCCCCCACCACCCTGTCTAAAGAAAGTCCCTCTAAAATGATTTATCCCAGCACCTCACTTGCTTCCTTCACTGCATTCATTTTAATTATTTGAACGCATTTTTTGTTAAAGACTTTATTGGGGAATTGGGGGAGGGGAACAGCGCTGGGGAATCGGGGGAAGGGGAACAGACAAGTTGCTGTTGTTTTGTTCTTCAGTCTCGCTGTGGAGGATG